TGAGGGTCACCATGAGTTGAAATCAACTCGACAGAAACTGATTTTTCTGACTTTTCTTAAAAACACACACACACACACCCCTGATCATTTTATTTTACTTCCATGTGTAAAAATTCCAGAAAGTATTCCTTGGCGTTCAAAATAAAATCAAGTTCCTTTACTTGTTACAAAAGGCTTCCCTTTCCCACCTCGACTCCTACCACTTTCCGTCTCAAACAATCTGTTCCTGCTATCCTGGAACAGGTCAACTTCCTGGGTACACAAGGTTGTTTCATACCCATCTTTGTGTACTTTTCCCACTGTCTAAAATCCTCTTTTCTCCTTGCCCACTTGAAATTCATTTGTCAAAACCCAGTTCAAGCATCTTCTCCTCTTTAACACCTTTCCTTACCCCCAATAAGATACCAAACTGAATCGCAGTGTAATACGGCTGGGCTGCAAAGCATGGCAGTTGGAGGGTTCAGTCCTGGGTCTCTTGGAAGACTCAGGGGAGGGCAACCCGTGGGCCAAAAAGGTAAAATCGATAGACACAAGAAGAATAACTGGAAGACAGTACTTGGTAGAAGTTGTGCGTGTTCTCTTGTCTGGAGATGCTGAGGAGGCTTCCTCTAGTATGTGTGTCTTGGGCAGAGAACAGGTTGACTGGTAACACCACCCACTGTAAGCTTTGGCTTCTAGTGAAATGAGAGGTGGGAAAGGTACAACCCAGACAATGGAAGAGGGGTCAGCAGTGGTTGAGAGGAGACACTAGTTAGAGGAGATAGGAGAAAAGTTTTCCTGGATATATTCATGTTAAAAAAAAAAAAAAAAAATACCTACTCTCAAAATAAATGGCAGTTCTTTAAATTGAATTAATTAGCTTATGAAGACCATTTTGTTGTAAAACTGTGAAAATTGGACATGGACCAGCATTTGGACGCTGGTGGTTTGATATATCATGGGTAGGCCCTTTTTACACTTTTTGTTTGTTTTTTCCTATTTAAAAGCAGTGAAAGTATGGTATGAAGACTTAGACACCCTCATAAGGAGAAAGCGGTGTTGTTGTTAGGTGCCGTCGAGTCGATTCCTACTCATAGTGACCCCATGTTCAATAGAACGGAACACTGCCCGGTCCTGCACCATCCTCACAGTCGCTGCCATGTTTGAGCCCATTGTTGCAACACTGTGTTAATCCATCTCCTTGAAGGTGTTCCTCTTTTTTGTTGACCCTCAACTTCATCAAGCACGATGTCTTTCTCCAGGGATTGGTTCCTTCTGGTAACATGTCCAAAGTAAGTGAGACAAAGTCTCACCATCCTCAATTCTAAGGAGCATTCTGACTGTATATACAATTTATTTTATTTTTTAACAGCTTTATTGAGATGTAAATGTAATGCACGTACCATATGTTATGGATTGAGTTGTGTCCCCCAAAAATGTTTTGTAAATCCTAACCTCTATGCCTGTGTTTAAAATCCCATTTTCAGCTGCTAACCGAAATTCAGTGGTTCAAAACCACTAGTGTTAGATGTGGCAGTCTGCTTCTGTACAGATTACAGCCTTGGAAACTCTATGGGGCAGTTCTGCCCTGCCCTATAGAGTCGCTAAACTACATACCCATTAGCAGTCCATCCCTATTCCTTCTGTCCACAGCTCCCAACCTCCGGTCTTAAGCAACCACTAAATCTAACTCTCTATAAATTTTCCTATTCTGGACGTTCATATAAATGAAATGGTCTTTTGTGACTGGTTTCTTTCGCTTAGTATAGTGTTTTCAGTTGATCCATACTGTAGCGCATATTAGAAATTTATTCATTTGTATGCCTGATTAATATTCCGTTGTATGGGTATGCCACATTTTGTTTATCTGTTCACCAGTAAATGGACATTTGGGTTGTTTCCACTTTTTGCACATTCTGAATAATACTTATAAGCATAAGTATGCAAGTTTTTGAGTGGTTGTATGTTTTCATTTCACTTGGGTATACACCTACGAGCGGAATTGCTGGGTCATATGGTAATTCTATGTTTAACGTTTCGAGGAACTCCCGGACTGTCTTCTGAAGCAGCTGCACCATCTCACATTCCCACAACAATGTGTGAGGGTTCCAATTTCTGTACGTCCTTACCAACATTTGTTATTGTTCGTCATTTTTATCATAGCCATCCTATGTGGTATGAAGTGTTACCTTATTGTGGTTTTGATTTGCATTTCCCTGATGACTAATGATGTTGAGCATCTTTTCAAGAGCTGATTGGCCATTTCTAATTTATGTTTAAAGATTATATAAACAAACACATCTGAGAAGTTATATACTAAGATGTTAATAGTTCTTCTGCCTAGGGGATGGTACATATTATTTTCTACTCCGTGTCCTTTTGTATTATTCAATGTTTTTTTTTTTTACAGTGACTCTCCGTTACTTTTATAATCAGCAAAAACAATAAAGGTAGTTTCATTTAAAAAAAATTGACATGTCTAACAAAGGTCTGATCTTTAAAATATGTAGGAAAATCCAATACTTGTATAATCAGCAAAAACAATAAAAAGGTAGTTTCATTTTAAAAAAATTGACATGTCTAACAAAGGTCTGATCTTTAAAATATGTAGGAAAATCCAACATCTCTACAATAAAAAGACAATAATTCAATTAAATGGACAAAGCATATGAACAGACACTTCACCAAAGAAGACATTAGGCGGCTAACAGACACATGAGGAAATGCTCGCCATCACTAGCCGTTAGAGAAATGCAAATCAAAACTACAAGGAGATGCCATTTCACCCTGACATTACTGGCACAAATCAAAAAAAAAAAAAACCAGAAAATAACAAATGTTGGAGAGATTGTGGGGAGACTGGAACTCTTATGCACTGCTGGTGGGAATGCAAAATGGTACAGTCATTACAATCATTACAATGGTACAATCATATGGCGCTTCCTTAAAAATCTAGAAATACAAATACCATGTGAAACAGCATTCCCACTCCTAGGAATATATGCTAGAGAAATAAGAGCTGTCACACGAATAGACACATGCACACCCGTGTTCATTGCAGCATTATTCAGAATAGCAAAAACATGGAAACAACCTAAGTGCTCATCAACAGATAAATGGATAAACAAATTATGGTATATACACACAATGGAGTACTACGCAACGATAAAGAACAATGATGAATCTTCGAAATATCTCACAACATGGATGAACCTGGAGAGCGTTATGCTGAGTGAAATGTCAATCACAAAAGGACAAATGTTGTATGAGACTGCTATTATAAAAACACATGAAAATGTTTCCACACAGAAAGAAACAATCTTTGATAGTTACAAGGTAAGGGAGGATTGGGGAGGGAAAAACACTAACTAGATAGTAGATAATTGGTAACTTTGGTGAAGGGTAAGACAATACACAATACTGTGGAAGTCTGCACAGCTTGGCCAGGGCAACATCATAGAAGCTTCACAGACACATCCAAATGCCCTGAGAGACTGAGCTACTGGGCTGAGGGCGAGGACCTGGTCTCGAGGGACATCTAGCTCAACTGGCGTAACATAGTCTATAAAGAAAATGTTCTACATCTAACTGTGGTGAGTAGTGACTGGGATCTTAAAAGCCTGCAAGTAGCCGTCTAAGATACATCTACTGGTTCCATTCTGGATGGAGCAAAGGAGAATGAAGAAAATCAAAAACACAACGGAAATATTAATCCAAAGGACTTATGGACCACAGCTACCACAACCTCCACCAGACTGAGCCCAGAACAACTAGATGGTGCCCAGTTACCACCGCTGACTGCTCTGGCAGGGATCACAATAGAGGGTCCTGGACAGAACGGGAGAAAAATGTAGAACAAAATTCAGATTCACACACACACACAAAAAGGCTTGCTAGTTTGACAGAGACTGGAGAAACCCCAAGAGTATGGCTCCAGGACACACTTTTAGTTCAGTACTGCAGTCACTCCTGAGGTTCACCCTTCAGCCAAAGATCAGACAAGTCTGTAAGGCCATCAGTAACACACATGACAGACATGCTTCGTAGTACAATAGTGTCTACGAGACCAATGGGCACAGCAGCCCAAAAGCAAAGATGAGAAGGCAGGAAGGGACAGGAAAACTGGGAGAACAGAAACAGGGAACCTGGGGTGGAGAAGGGAAGAGTGTTGACACATCATGGGGTTGGCAACCAATGTCACAAAACAATTTGTGTATTAACTGTTTAATGAGAAATTAATTTGGTCTGTAAACGTTCATCTAAATCACAATTTTAAAAAATGGGAAAAGCTTTGTTTTAAATTTTTTTAAATCCAGCAATACTTCTACTTCTCACACTTGATGGTTATGAACTTGTTCATCATGGTATCCTCCTATAGACTAGCTTGTCCCCGGTAGGTTCATATTAGATACTGTATTAGTTTCCTATTGCTGCTGTAACAAATTACCACAAGCTTAGTACCTTAATACAACACAATTTATTCTCTTACAGTTCTGGAGGCCAGAAGTCCAAAATTAGTTTCACTAGCTAAAGGCAAAGTGTTGGCAGGGCTGGTTCCTTTAGGAGGTTCTGAGGAAAGGATCCTTTTCCTTACCTTTTCTGGCTCCTAGAGCTGCATCTCTTATATGTCTTAGCTCCTGTCCCTTCCTGCTGCCAGCAGCAGCATGATGTCTTTAAATCTCTCTCTGCTTCCATGGTCCCATTACCTTTTCCTCTTCTGCTGCCACATCTCCCTGTTTCCCTCATAAAGGAACACCTGTGGTTACATTTGGAGCCCACCTGGATAATCCAGGATGATCTTCCCATCTCAAGATCTTTAACTCAGTCACATCTGCAAAGTCCCTTTTGCTATATAGAGTAACATCTACAGGTTCTTGAGATTTAAACATGGATATTTAGAGGCCATTAATTAGCCTACCACAGATACTTGGTGGCTAAATAGTCACATTGCTTTCATTTTCCATGATACCACTTTCTAAGAAATTTTGTCCTTCACAAAGCTCTTCCTTCCCTTTTCACAGGCAGATGTTGGTGAGATTCATTCCGAGGACAGCTGCAGACCCCAGATTAAGGCTGCGTTGTCCAAGGACACTGTGGGCAGTGCCGAAGGCCTGGAAAAACCAGCCCAGATGGGAAGCTTACCCGGAACCATTCCAGAAAGTTCCCCATCTCCTAGTGAACAAAACGGAGGAGTACATTCAGGTGAAAGCCTACTCCTGTTGATCTCCACAAAATACTGTTTCTCTAAAGATATTTTATAAAGGTATGCTTTGAGGGCCAAGCAACACTCAACGATAAGGTCGTTGTCTCAAAGATATTAAAATTTAACCTTAGGCCTTCATTACGTGAGTAAGTAATGCTAGCTATGAACTTGTTGAAGAGGTAATTAAAACCATCTTTATTTTTTTGGTTTCGTTTTTTCACTAAGAATCATCATTAGGGTATGGGAACAGGTCTTAGAAACAGGAGTAGCCCAGACGAGAAAAACCTGTTGCCATCGAGTCGATCTGATTCATGGCAACCCCATGTGCTTCTGAGTAGAACTGTGCTCCATAGGGTCTTCAATGGCTGATTTTTCAGAAGTAGATTACCAGGCTTTTCTTCCAGGCACCTCTGGGTGGATTCGAACCACCAGCTTTTCAGTAGTCGAGTGCTTCACTGTTTGCACCACCAGGGACTCCAGGAATAGCTCAAAAGACAAAAAACCAAACCCATTGCCATCAAGTCGATTCTGACTCATAGCGACCCTGTAGGACAGAGTAGTACTGCCCCATAGAGTTTCCAAGGAGCGCCCTGTGGATTGGAACTGCCGACATTTTGTTCAGCAGCCATAGCTCTTAACTTCTACGCCACCAGGGTTTCCCAGGCTTTGGTTAAATTCCTTTAAATTCCCACTGTGTTAATACCCTCCAAGAGAAAGGTTTACAAATGTAAAAATAAATAAAACCTACATCAAACTGTTTTCCCTGTCTTTCCCTACCCAAAATACCAGCAAATATGTAATAAAGAAATCTTTCAAATTGAACATAAAAGAAGTAATTATGACCTGGTGTGCTATTTAGAAACTATTTGAAGTTTTTCCTGTGGTGTATTTCCCTTTATTTGAGTTACCCCCTGGTGTCGATTTGAGAGATTTTATTTATAGTCTATCAGTCTTTGGAAGAAAAAAATTGAACTTAACAGAACTCAAGGAAAAGTACTCTGTTTTACCTTTTGGAAGGAAATTCATTTTATTCCTTGTTTCTGTAGTTTCTCTCCTGGGTAGAAGAAGTTGGGATTGGAAAATAGATGTGTTGATAAATGAGAGTTTTTTTCCTTTGACTTCCATGGATAATCGGGTTAACACAGATTTTATATTCATCCTCGTCTTCTGGGGTTGTTATGGTGTGGAGTGACCCCTGAGAATGAGGTGGGAGTAAGGAAATGCGACACATTCTCTTCTGTGCGTTAGGTCAACCCGTACATTTCTCCTCCCTGGTTCATTTGATGTGACTTCGCCCCAGTTCGTATAGATGGCCAGGAGGACAGGGACCGTGCTGTGTCCCAGGACACTCAGTCTAGCCAGGTGTAGACTGTTAAAGGCAGTCTGGGAAGGGTGGCAGGTAAGCACGGTAGGGCTAAGAGAGAACAGCTTGGGGAAGGGACTTAGGTTAGTTTCCTTGAGCTGCCGTAACAAAACACCACAAAGTGGGTGGCTTATGAGAACAGCAGTTGATTGTCTCACAGTTCTGGAGGCTAAGCGTCTGAATTCATAGTGTTTACAGGGCCATGCTTTTCTCTGAAGGCTCCAGGGGCTGATCCTGTCGTGTCTGTCCTGGTCTCTGGTAGCCCCAGGCGCTCTTCGACATTCCTTGGTTTGCAGCTGCATCTTCACGTGGCCATCCTCCTCCTGTCTGTGTCTGTGTCTCTTCTCTTTTATAAAATTATTTTAAATAATTTTAGAATTTAAGAAAAATTGCCAAAAATAAAGAATACCTATCTTCCTTCACCAGAATTCCCCAAATGTTAACACTTTACCATGTTTGCTTTATCATCCTGCCTCCTCCTCTCTCTCCCCCCATATGCAAGAACGATTTTTTGAGAGTAAGCTGCAGACACAATGCTCCTACTTTACCCCTAACTACACCAGTGTGCATTTCCTAAAAACAAGGACACTCTTTGCATAATCACAGTACAATTAATAAAATCAAGAAGTTAATATCGACATAGTACTGTTAATCTAATTTGTCGCCTGTATTCAAATTCTGTCAACTGTTGCACTAATGTCCTTTACAAATAAATTTCTGGTTCAGGATTCAGTCCAGGATCACATTTAACTTAGTTGTCATATGAGCTTCGTCTCTTTTAATCTGGAATAATTCCTCAGTTTTTCCTTTTTTTTTATGATCTTGATATATGTGGAGAATATCCCCCCATCAAAAAAAAAAAAAAAAACCCATTGCTGTCGAGTCAATTCTGACTGGTGGCAATCCTATAGGACAGAGTAGAACTGCCCCATAGGGTGTCGAAGGCTGTAGTCTTTATGGAAGCAGACTGCCACATCTTTTCTGCCACAGAGTGCTAGTGGATTCAAACCGCTGACCTTCTGGTTAGCAGCCAAGAGCCTAACCACTGCGCCACCAGGGCTCCTTGTGGAGAGTCTAGGCCACTTATTTTGTAGAATATTTGTCAGTTTGGGTTTGCCTGATAGTTCCTCATGATTGTATTCTGATTATGCATTTTTGGCAAGAATGTAAAAAATGATAATGTGTCTTCAGTATGTACATCAAATGAAGAGTTACATGATACCTATTTTTTACTTTTATTATTTTTTTGTCATGCAGAAGTTTCTTTTTAACATAGTAAAATTTATTAACCTCTTCTTTTATTGAGTCTGGATTTTGAGTCATCAGATGCCTTTCACTCAACCAAAATTGAAGAGGAATTCACCCATATTTTCTTACATGATTTCATTTTTTATACTTCAGCTTATAAAGAATTTTAATGGCATGAGAAAATGCTATTGTAAACATTAACTATGTGGGAAGCACAACCATATGTCTGATATGATGCCAAATTTATAGAAACAAACGTTTCTACGCTAACAGTGGCCGTCTCTGGGTGGTGAGAGTGTGTGCCTGTTTATTTTCTTTTTCATTCCGTTCTGTTTTCTACAGCGAGCGTGGGTTACTCTGACAATCACATGGATGCGCAATGTTCAGCATTTCCCAGTACTCTCCAATGTCCCAAGAAATCATGAAAATAAGTTGAAATGACTGACATTTTCCAGGGATGGCTATATAACTTAGCTTCTATAATTGTTAAGCCAAATACTTTAGTAGACTCAGAGAGGAATGGATCAAAATGGTAAAAATAATGTGATAATGTTAGTGACGGATGTCAAGGATGACATTTTTTGTAGAACCGTCCAGAGTGAGAAGTGAGGGACCACCAGTGGGAAACGTTTACATGACATATTTGGGGGAGGGTACGTAGGGTCACTATGAGTCGGATTTGACGCAACAGCAATGGGTTTGGTTTTTGGTTTTTACAGTGAGCGGGTCAAGAACAAGGGGTGAAGGTCAAGCCAACTTCAATTCAAATCCTTGTTAATTCACTTACTACGCATGTCACCTTGAGCAGATGGATTCGCCTCTCATATCAGTTAATTTATAAACTAGTGATGTTAATACCTCTCTCCCAGAGCTTGTAATGAATTACATGTTATAAAATATATATAGTACTTAGTATAGTGCCAGAACTCATAAATGCTCAGTAACTAGTAAGGAGCCCTGGTGGTGCGGTGGTTAAGTGCTAGGCTGCTAACCGAAAGGTTGGTAGTTCGAAACCACCACCCACCCAGTGGGAAAAAGATGTGGCAGTCTGCTTCTGTAAAGATTTACCGCCTTGTAACTGTGTGGGACAGTTCTACTCTGTCCTGTAGGGACACTGTGAGTCAGAAGCGACTTGGCATTATTATTATTTTTTTTTTTTGGCATTATTTTGACCACCACATGTCCGTCAGTTTGTTGTACTGTGCTGCCTTGCGTGTTGCTGTGATGCTGGAAGCTACGCCATCAATATTTCAAATACCAGCAGGGTTGCCAATGGTGGACAGGTTTCAGCGAAGCTTCTGGACTAAAACAGACAGGGCAGAAGGAGGGCCTGGCCGTCTACTCCCAAAAACCTTATCACAACGGAACATTGCCCAATATAGTGCTGGAAGATGAGTGAGTCCAAACATGTCAACCATCATGAAGATGGCGCAGGTCTGGGCAGTGTTCCATTCGGTTATACATAAGGTCACCATGAGTTAAAGCTGACTTGACCGAGTCTGGGGCACTGGTGGTGCAGTGTTTACTGTTGGGCTGCTACCAAAAGATCGGTGGTTCCAATCCACTGGCCAGTCCTTGGAAACTCTATAGGGCAGTTCTACTCTGTCCTATAGGGTCGCTATGAGTCGGAATCAACTCAACGGCAGTGGGTTTGGTTTTCTTCAGTTTGACAGCCGCTAACGACAATGACAGTTATTTTGTGCCTTACGGATAAGCCCACCTTCTAACAGAATCATTCTAATTCCTTGAAGGGGACTCACCTCTAACCTTTTTCCTGAATGTTCCCCCATTATTTCAGTCTTCTATTTTATTTATCTGGAAGACACGTTTTTAACACTATATACCAAAATCTGTGTAGAGCAGTTTAAAATTAGATTTTGATTCATTTCAAGCATGAGCAGAGGTAAAAGAAACAGCTCTGTAAAGGTAACAGTCACAAAATGATAAGAAATTTGTTGGAGTTACTTGCAGTGGTCAATTAGAAAAATCGTTTGTAACCAGTAGGTTAATATAGTCAGAAGTGAGAGACATCTGGTTAGTGGGGATTTTTTTTTGTTTTTCTCTGTCTTCCCACCACAAACTCATGGAAGCTGTCTTTGTTGCCTTTCAAGGTGAGAAATTTTCATAAAAAGCCTCCATCCACTAAAAGAAATGGACTTGGTTACTATCAGGACTTCGTGATGCTCACAAAATAGAAACTAGCCCATTACTGAGGGCTCTCTGTTTCATCATCTCTGACAAGAAAAGCGAAACTGTGGAGCCCGACAACCCACGCGCGTTTATTTCGTAAAGCAGCATTGTGAAAACGGCTGTCCCTTTGCTCAGTTAATGTAATTGAGTGATTCAGATTGAGGAGGGGGTCCCGCTCATTAACGCCGTTGATAAAGGCTCTGCTAAAAACTGTTTCCGGGTTGATTTTTAGAATCCCTAATAAAAATTTAGTTCCTATCACTCTATTCCAACTCGGATTTGGTCCAAAGATTCTTTTCAAAAAGGTGTACTTTTGCTCATGCAGATTTAGCAGCAAGCGTAATTGTAAACTCAGGGTTGCAGACCTAGAAATCTCCTGGCAACATTTTGCTGTTGATCCTTTGTGTACAAAGCATAGAAACCAAACTGCAACTCCCTAAGAGTTACCAGAAGACTGTCCTTCTTCGCTGTGGTGTAGCTTCTCTCATTCTTCGCCGTGGTTTAGCTCCGTAATTAGTGCAGGGAACTGTGTGTTGTCTTACCCAGGTGTATAAGCGTTGTTACAACAACAAAAAAGTAGTCCATAGCAGCACATGAAAGGCATTTCGTTACGTTAATATGCCACCTGCTGAATAAACAGTGTGTGATGTTGATGTGTATCCTCTGTAAGAACATTAAGAATTTGAACTTCAAAGGATTACAAATACTTCTAATAGAAACAGATCCTTAAGAGTGTTGAGGCTAAGAATGTTTTAAGTAAGAATTAAATGAGGATTTAATTTTAAAATGAGATAAATGTCTTACAAAGAATATACAGTATTCATTGCATGTGTGAATTCTGATTTATGAATTTTCTATCATATAGACACTTATTTCTTACTAGAAGACACTGGCTTATCCATTCCTCCTTTATGACAAGGATCACACCCTATTTGTAATAATTTAAAATTCTAGGCTTAAATAGAAATACTTATTTGCAGTTTTTCACTCTCTGTGAACCTCTTATAATGTGATTTGATACAGGCTCTGGGCATGCTTCATAGCACACTTAAAACAATCGTATGCATTCCAGTGGATGAAAACATCTGACAAATGTTCCAAAGTAACAAAAATAATTAAAAAAGGAACACGAAAAGGATTTTTCCCTTCTCCCTTCAAAGATGAGAGTTGTTCTTTTAATCGTATTACATAAAGGCACGCCTGAAAAAATAAGAAGTGGGCCACGCTGGGCCGTGGAGCTGGCCCTGGGAACAAACTTTTTTTGGGGGAAAAAAGATTTCTAACTTCATTAAACGAATATAATAGAGTCCTACTACACAGGTAGAGCCCTGGTGGCGCAGTGGTTAAGAGCTCAGCTGCTAACCAGAAGGTTGGCTGTTCCAATCCACCAGCTGCTCCGTGGAAACGCTATGGGGCAGTTCTACTCTGTCCTGTAGGGGCGCTATGGGTTGGAATTGACTCGATGGCAATTTTTTTTTTTTTTTAAAAACGGAGTACACAGGCATGGTCTTTTATAACAGGTACACAAAATGTAACTGGAATGCCATTAAACAGCATGATTAATAAAGCATCCATTTAGCATTGGCTTAAAGTTTGCTTTCTCCTTTCTTTTCCTTTTCCTTTGGAAGACCTAGCACCCGGTGGATTCATCAGTAAACCCCAGCCCCTGGAGAATGGGGAGCGGCCGAAGTCGTCAGACATCCTGGAGGAACTAATTGTTCAGGGAATAATACAGAGCCACAGTCAAGTCTTCAGAAATGGGGAGTCATCCGATGTCATGGCAAGTAATTTTGAAATAAACATTAGCTCAGAGTTAAAAGTAGTAATAGAATCTGATTAATCACCAGTATTATTTCTGGCATATGCCTTGTAGAGTGACAACCCAGATTACAGCATTTACTAAGCCAGTCTGTCCTCGCATAAATGCTCCCCCCCACACACACACCATCTCTTTCTCCTGATTCAGGAATTGCCCTAATCATTCATGCTTAATGAACCTAACAAAACATATATCTTAGGTTTTACTAAATTTGAGACCCAATAAACCCTTTCACTTAATAACATGCCTTCATTCTTTCAGCCGTTTTTATTGTGACTGCCCATGTACTAGGCATCGTGCCAGGGCATTGAGGCTATACAGCTGAATCTGGTTTACTGAATGAGGAAGCAGGCCTGAATGCCAAAGCTAAAATACACGTGCTTATACATGGTGGAAAGAGAGCCCTGGTGGCGCAGTGGTTACAGTGCTTGGCTGCTAACCTACCAGCCGTTCTGCAGGAGAAAGGTGTGGCCGTCTGCTTCTGTAAAGATTTACGGCCTCGGAAGCCCTATGAGGCAGTTCTACACTCTTCTATAGTGTCGCTGTGAGTTGGGATCCACTCAAAGGCAGTGGGTTTGGTCTGGATACGTGAGGGCGGGGCATTGCTGGTTCAGTGGCAGAATTCTCGCCTTCCGTGCCAGAGACCGGGGTTCCATTCCCAGCCCGTGGACCTCATCTGTCCAGCCACCATCTGACTGTCAGCGTAGGCTTGCGTGTTGCTATGATGCTGAACAAGTTTCAGGGGAGCTTCCAGACTAAAACTAGGAAGAAAGGCCTGGGAATCTACTTTCGACAATCAGCCGATTAAAACCCTGTGGATCACAAAGGTTCAATCCACAACCAGTCTTGATAACATAGGAACAGGCAGCATTTCATTCCGCTGTGTAT